TATATATGTATATTTTCTTTGTTTCGTTTCTGCCTATGGTGTTTTAATGATAATTCATGATGATGACCAAAGGTAATATGCTTGGTTGATAGCATAAAGAGAGGGTGTAATTTCGGCTATTTTTGGTAATGATGTAATTGCTTTCAATTAATTATGCCAATTTGCATTTAATTTGCTTCATAACAGTTACATGGGATGCATTTAGAATCTTTAGGTATAAGTGTAAATATTTTAGACTTTTCATGTAATTTTATAAATAAGATTATAATTGGTATATAAGTGTAATATATATCATAACATGTAGTAAGAGATGTAAATTCCTCTACTTTATTCCACTTCACCGTAGATCAGGATGCTTATGACTTGTGACTCCGACTAATGACCAAACCCGACCCAATGAATATAGGACATACCTTAGAATTTGAATCAAGTTAAGTCTCGGCCAGACAAATCATGATTCAAAACACTTTTTTTTTTTTTTGTTAGTATAGCTTGTAATTACATATGGTGCAAATATTTATGATGAGAGATACAAGATATTAAAATTTGAAGTATATACATTTACACATAAGTTATTATCTTACTTCTATAATTTTACGAGAATAAATAAATGATTTATCGTATTTCGAAATTGACTCGAAAGTCAAAAACCGGCCCGCATCAAACACGCCACTGCACCAGAATCAAGAGTCAACAGTGCGACTTTAAAAGTCAAAACTCCTCTAAACCCTAATTTGCCTCTCACAGAACAATACAGGAAAATATCCCCAATTCCAGTTAAACTCAGGGGAAGAAAAATGGAGGTGGCATCAATGGCTGGGGCTGGAGTTGTAGCTATGGAGGAAGAAAGGGAATTAACCAATCGCGTCATATGTCAGCTGACGGACTCAGAAGGTACTCCTCTGGGAGCGCCGATTTTCCTACCTGAAAGCGCCGGCCCGAAGGAGCTCCAGCAGCTGGTCAATAAGCTACTTAACAACGTAAGTTCTCGTGCAATATGAACATTCTTTAATTGAAGATGGGTTTGCACAATTTTCGATTTTTCGTGCCAAATTTGGTTCATGTTGGACTTTCAGTTCTTCCACATGATGGGTTAAGTGCTGTTGATTGTTTAATTGTGTTTGTTGGTTTGGAGAAGATATGTTTAAACGATAGATGATATAATTTGTACACTCGCACATGTTGACTGGGTTGGATTTGTTTATGGGCCTGATCTATTGCAGGAGGAAAGATTGCCTTATGCATTTTATGTATCAGACAGTGAACTTGTAGTGCAGCTAGGAACATACCTTCAGAAGAATAAAGGTGAGGTCTCTCCATCAAAATCTGCAGTACTATTACAGCAAATGAGTTGCTAAGACTCGGTAATTCTTGTGCAGTGTCTGTGGAGAAAGTCGTCACGATAGTTTACCAGCCCCAAGCAGTATTTAGAATACGGCCTGTAACTCGCTGTTCTTCAACTATAGCTGCTATGAAAATCTTATTTTGTTGCTTGCATGTATATATGCCAGTCAGTTTGTGCAAGTTAATAATGTGACTGGGCATTGTTCAGTTATGTGCTCTATGGAAATAGAGCTCTTTCTGTATTCTTTTTTACCATTCTAATTTCTGTAGCTCTATGATTTACTGAAAGGCTTCTCGCAGCGCCTTAAATGTATCAAGTTATGCAGTGTCTTGTTATTTTTGGTGGCATACTTATACGAAGTTAATGTCAGAGGTAGTTGAAAAATCTTGCCTATTTTCATTAACCCTATATGGTTCTGTATTTTCAGGTCATTCAGAGGCAGTGCTTTCTGTAGCGTTTAGTCCAGATGGACGCCAGTTGGCAAGTGGATCAGGCGACACCACTGTACGGTTATGGGACTTAAATACGCAAACTCCATTGTTCACGTGTAAAGGTTTATAATCTTGTTCCCTGTATTAGTGTTTAGTGAGAGCTGCATGTTAATTTTCTCTTTCAAGCATGGGATCAAAATTTTCACATTGTAGTAGTATATTCACGAGACTTGTTTGGTTTTATATGATTAGCATGCAAGATATCAGAAATAGCACTTAGGCTATGTTGATTTTGATAGAGATTTTTGGTGGCGAAAATTCTCTAACTTTACAGGAGGAACTGGGTTCTTTGTATTGCATGGTCGCCAGATGGTAAACATCTTGTTAGCGGAAGCAAGGCTGGAGAACTGATATGCTGGGACCCACAGACTGGCAAACCATCAGGAAACCCTCTTACCGTGAGTTCAAATATATGTTGTTTAACTAGGCTTGGTTCTGTCTTGATCTGATTATTATTTATTGTGCTGGGTTATCTTTGATGACATATCATCATTTTACCTTAAACGCAGTCAATTGTGCTTGGATCAATATGTTCTATCAAGAAATCTTATCAAATTATGATATTTTCTTCCTTCTTTTCTTTTCCTCTTTGGAAAATCTCAGGGAAAAAACAACCGACCACAAGTCCTGCAAGAGTTGAATTTTACTTACATAATTTTAAATTTAAGCATGAAATATCATTTTCATATTTGAAATTTCAAGAATTGTATATTTATATATGGAGGAAAACCTTTTTCATGCTCTAGTGTTTCGCTGTACATACATCCCCTGCTATCATTTATTTTGTGGCTGGTTTAGTTTCCCAAGACACTCAATAGTTATCCGTCACTATTATAAATTTGCACATTACCCTCCCAATTTTTTCTACAAAAAAAATTATCTGTCTATGTACATCTTTGAATTCCCTAAAAGACTAGATTTATGACTGACACGATTCATTTCTCAGGGTCACAAGAAATGGGCAACTGGAATTTCATGGGAGCCGGTGCATCTTAGTGCTCCAACCCGCCGCTTTGTTAGTTCAAGTAAAGATGGTGATGCAAGAATTTGGGATGTTACTTTGAAAAAATGTGTTATAGTTCTTACAGGACACACACTTGCCATAACATGTATGAAGTGGGGTGGAGATGGAGTCATACATACAGGGTGTGCCTATAATTTTTCTTTTGATAAACCTGTCCAATGTAAATCTCTTGCTCTACTGGTTCAGGGTTTCCATACAGTTATTCGTGATGTGAAACTTCCAATATGCTCAGAATTGGGCTATCTTAGTTTTACTTTAGTTTTATTTCCTGATACACAAACCAAAACTAACTTCTAGAAACCCACTGGAGTTCTAATTGTGGAAGGACTCATGTGTGGGTCATGTAAATGAGGAAATTAATTTCTAGCATTGCTGACTTTGGAGGGCATTGAGACTAGAAGGACGAGTTTCTATTTGCCTGTGACAGAAAATTCTATGTGATGAAACATCTTCTCTGTTTTCCATACAGATCTCAGGATTGTACAATTAAAATGTGGGAAACTTCACAAGGGAAGCTCATACGCGAACTAAAAGTATTCTTCTAAACAAGTCGACTATATCTTCTCTTCATCTCTCTGGTTCTGTTATAGTGCATCTGTTTCATTTGGCATATGTTGAAAGACTGAGTTGAATATATTGAGCTGCTATTTACTCTTTATTCCGTGTCTCGCCACAAAAAGAGTTTGTGTCAAAGTCTTAAAGATTTGTTAAGTATATTGTTTGGGAGGGATGTCACAACCATCTTCCAGTAATTTTGTTCGAAGTCTGTATATGGTATATTGTTTTTTTGTCACTCAACAGTATTCTACATATTGTGTAGGGCCATGGCCATTGGGTAAATTCTCTAGCATTGAGTACCGAGTATGTTCTTCGAACTGGTGCATATGACCATACCGGGAAAACATATACATCTCCGGAGGAAATGAAGAAGGTGACCGATTTATCTTCAGCATCTTCTGTGCGAAGTTATTCATAGATATATTTGCTTTTCTTCACTAAAATTGAGCTGTGTATTAACTATTAATGTGTATCTATTTCAAAATGATGTCTGTTTGGACATGTTGATTTTATTGCAACAGTTGTTGGAGAATAAGTTAATAAAGATAGTTGAAGTGCAATTACCTTATTAATTTTGCACCTTAGGCTATATATTTATTATTTACATTTTTATATCATCTTTTTTCTTCAACAACTCGTTTGAACAATTTTGCTATGGAGCCATCGGATGACTTGGCTTATGGAGTCATCTATAGTTATTCACAAATGGTGTATTGACACGTGTCATGTAATAAATACACTTTGGACAGATGTCAATACATTAAGTGATGGATGGCTCCATAAGAAAACCATCCGATGGCTCCATAGAATTTCTGTTTGAATGCCTCCCTTTTTTTTCTACCAGGTAGCACTAGAAAGGTACAACAAGATGAAAGGCAAGCACCCCAAAACTCGTATGACTGGCCATCAACAGGTATTAGCAAAACTCGTATTAGCAAGTCTTCTCTTTTTT